TCTCCAAACCACGGTATAAATTACATGTTGGATGGTTCTCTCCGTGTGTTCAAAAGTTGGTTCAACAGCGTTTTGTACCTAGGCAACTATCAAAAGACAGGTTACACCTTTTTTAGGAACTGCAGAATACTAAAGGTCGAACTTTCAACTCGAAAGAAGGTGTTAGATTCGGCACGGTAGGGCCGGTCAATGACACAGAATTTTGCATGGTTGTTACTCATAGGTTGGAAGAGGATTACCTCGGGGTCAAAGATGATTCCGAAGAATCCCATATAAAGGACGTTCCATCAAAGTTTGAAAAAGAAATAAAGTCAAGAGTCGATAAACTAAGGAAAATTAATCTGGATACTGAAGAGGAGCCCAGACCTACTTTTATAACTTCTCTACTCAATAGCAAAGAGTCAACAAATTTGATTAGGCTTTTGTCAGAATTCAGATATTGTTTTGCTTGGGGCTACGACGAGATGTTTGGTTGGCTCCAGAAATTATAGTTCATAGACTAAGAGTGGATCAGAGTATGACCCCGGTAAAGCAAGCTTCTAGAAGGATGCGTCCAGAGATAGAACAATTGGTCACTACAGAGATCAAGAAGCTAATAGAGGCCAACTTTGTAAGAGAAGAGCAATATCCGAAGTAGTTAGCCAATGTGGTGTCGATCAAGAAGAAGAATAGACAGATACGAATATACATTAACTTCACAGACTTAAACAAAGTGTGCCCCAATAATGAGTTCTCAATACTAATCGCAAAAATAATGTTGGATAATGCATCATCGCATAAAATTTTTTCATTTATGAATGGATCATCTGGATACAATCAGATTAAGATGCACCGAAAGAAGCAACATTTACAATCTTTTGAAAACCAATTGGAATATATTGTTACACAATAATGTCATTTGGACTAAAGAATGATGGAGCAACATACCTACGAGTCATGACAAAGATCTTCGACGACCTCATTCACAACCAAGTTGAATGCAACGTGAGTGATTTGGTCATCAAGAACAAACAAAGGGAAACCGACCTACTTTATTTGAGAATTATCTTTGAACGGTTGCGACCATTTATTCTTAAAATGAATCCCTTAAAGTGTGCCTTCGGTGTAACCTCCAAAAATTTGTTGGGATTTATTGTCCGTCACCGTGGCATTAAAATCGATCCGAAGAAGATTAAAGTCATCTTGGAAATACAACCCCTATTGAAACAGCTACGATCTGTTCAAAGAAAATTGGCGTATCTAAGACGCTTTATATCTAATCTGACAGGATGATGTCAACCCTTCTCTGTGTTGACTAAAAAGAACGCTTAGTTCATTTGGGATGAGAAATGTCATCAGACCTTCAAAAGCATTAAGCAGTACCTAATAACACATTTTGTACTAGCAGCCTCAGTCTCGAGTAAACCGTTGATACTTTATACCGCTGCTTTAGACGAATCCCTCAGAACCCTGTTGGCCCAGCTCAACGATGACGGTAAGGAAAACGCTCTCTATTACCTTAGTCGTCGTCTAATTTCGGCGAAGGTAAAGTATCATCTGATTAAGAAGCATTGTTTGACATTAATCTTCGCCGCTCAGAAGCTTAGGCAGCACATGCCTTTTCAAAAGGTCACATGTATTTCAAAGTTTAATCTGTCGCGGTACTAGATGACTCGACAAACACTGCCTGAAAGATTGGCAAGATGGTCGATGATATTGCTGCAATTCGACATAATCTTCGTGCCTCTTCACGCCATTAGAAGGCAAGTGTTAGCAAATTTACTCACACCACACCTGCTACTGGCTGAGTTTTCTCTCAGCAACGACTTGCCAGACGAATAGATAATGAACCTAGGAAGCCCTGATATCTAACGTTGGGAGATGTACTTCGACGGAGCTTCATCAGCAAGGAAAGACAAAATTGCAGACGATAGTACCAGAGCAGGGGTTGGACTAATATTTATCACACTGAATCGGGGAATGTTAAGGATTTCCTACCATTTAACAGAGTCGTGTACAAACAACAAGGCAGAATATGAAGTACTAATAAAATGATTGCAGTTGGCAATATTAATGAACATAACGGGCATCGACGTCTACGACGATTCACAACACATAATTCAATAGGTAGTCGGACGGTACAAGATTTTGAAACCCAAATTGGAACAGTACCACCGCTACAAAATGAAGTTACTAGAACAGATCCTCAATGACATAAAAGTTCAAGGACTCCAGCGCACTAAAGAATTTGCATGCCCACAAGAGAACTCCATCGACATAACAGTCCAAGGACTCCAAGTTCTATCCCAAATTCACATGGATATTTTCCATAGATAGAGAAAGGAAGAAACTTTGATAGCAGTTACCGAATCTACAGAGGATTGGAATCGACCATTCATAGATTATTTGCAAACAGGGAAAGTGTTAGACGATAAGTCAAAAGCACATCAGATACAGAAAAGAGTCTTGTCATACGCCATAGTGGACAATGAATTGTACAGAAGATCGTTCGACCAGATGTGGTTGTAGTGTTTGAGACAAACTATCTCCTTCATTAGAAATACCCAAGTGGTTATAGTATGATCGTTAATAAATGAGACAAACTACCTGGCTCCAATGAAGGATTTCACCTTTGAAGATCCTCAAATATTATTGTGGATAATGACAAAAGAGTGTGAGGGTTTGTATTGGGTCAGATGATGACTATTTTTAGTATGTTTGGCAATTGACAAATCTCACATTGATAGAAACTAGATTTCTTTGTGATAAACAAATGAGGATACAACTTAGCAACATAATTGAAATTGGGACAACCCAAACGACAATGTCATAACAAAACCTAATTTTTGATAGCATGGACTCAATAAAAATTGGAGGTGAAATCATTTGTGTTTAGATAGAGGCTTTCCTTGAGTGGATATAAGTCGTGATACATTTCAGCACTTTCAATCACCTTTCCCGAATTCACCATCTAAAATTCACAAAAGTTAGAATGAAGTTTATTAATATAATTCAGGTCAGGAGTAAGCTTGCTAATTAAAGATAAGTTACAATTTAGTTGGGAAACATATAGCACTTAAAAAAATTGAATGTCTTTGGAGACTTTCACATTTCCTTTCCCAACAATCCTGAAGTGAGATCCATCAGCAAGTCTAACAAATTTAGGGTTGGTGATCTCATGGTAGTTGATAAGAGAATGAATGTCTCCAATTATGTAATCAAAAGCACAGAATCTATTATCCAAGGTCGAAATCCTCAATTGTAAACAAGATAGGAGGATATGATATCTTAGTATATCATCAAGCTAGTAGACTCCGAAGTAGAGCTAGACATCTTCATTCTATACTCAGTCATAAACCTAATTCACGTTTAGGACTGGAAGAATTCAGAGCTGCAGCAAACTGCAGAATTCTTGGCTGCTTCTTGCCGCAAGAGTGGAGAAATGCTTGGAAAGCCGGAGAGATGTGCTTGCTTGGAAGAAGCTAGCTGCGGTTGTTGGTTGGCGGCTGTCAGCGATTGCTCTGCTTACTCGAAAAACAGAAGTTAGGTCGCCGACAAAGGGCAGGAAGGCTGGGTGGAGAGCCTGGAAGCCCACATAAAGCTTTCAGAGAAGTCGGCAGGGCTGTTGCTTGTTGTAGGAAGGGATTTACTGCTGTTCCTACAGGCAGAAGAAAGGCTGCTGCAGGGAAGGAGAGAAACAGCACGCTGCAAGAAAGGAGAGTTGTGGGATAGCAGGAAAAGTGCCAACAGATGAGAGCTGCTGCAGGGACAGCAGGAGAGGTCCCCCGCAAAGACAGGAGAAGGTCGATGGAGAAGTGCTGCCGCTGTTTCTGCTCGTTGAAGAAGGATTATGTCGCTGCTTCAGGAGTTTGGCTGCTGAGAACTGCAGAAGATTCTGCTGATGATGCTGTTGTAGGAGTTCTGCTGGAGAAGTAAGACCTGTAGGGAAGGGCTTCCTTGCACTTCAGAAGAGCGGCGATGACCACGTAAAGTTCCGACGCTTGATTTTCTGTTGCAGGGTTGCTGCTGCTGCTGTATCTGTTGTCGTTGCTGCTACGGGAAACAGATGCTGGCTGCAGAACCTGAACAAAACTGAAACAGTCCGGCAGTTGGGAGGATTTTGAAGAGGGCCTACAACCTGAAGAAAGAATGCCAATTGCAGGGAAGAAAACTGGCTGCAGAAAAGAAGAGAATCTTGACGACCAGCAGGGGCTCAGATGGCAGAGGAATGACCTGCAAGTAGCAAGGAGAAAATTCCGACAACAAGAGGGGCCTACAGAGAAGAGGGGATTCCAGCTGCTTGAAGGGAAAAGGAGATTCTGGCTGCCTGCAAGAAGGAGGTCGAGCTCTTGGCAAAGGAGATTCCCACTCCGGCAGGAGAGTTTCCGGTCTGGTTGAAGGGATTATCTGGCATTGGCAGAGGTCTAGATGAGTTTCTGGAAGTAAGAAGGAGGTCTGACGACACAGAGGGATCTAGGGTAAGGCCAATGACTCTAATACCATGTAGAAAACAAGTTTTAGAAAGGAATAATTCTCTTGATCCATATGAATATGATAGATATATATAAGGACAACAATCTCTCAAAATTTACAAACTTATCAAATATATATAACCAAAATAAGTAAAGAAAATAATTCTGTCATAAAAAATAAAATAACATAGAATAGGACGGGAATAGACTAATCAAGAGTTTCCTAAGTTGCACCAATCAAATCTTCAAGTAACTTCTCAGATTTCCTCTATAATCTTCTCAGATTTCCACAATAATTGATGACAAAACTCTTCCTATGCCACTATAAATGGCAAAGCATTAGTTTTAACTCCAAATTATAAGTTATGTTCAAAAGATAAATATACCCAAAAAGAATTAGAATAAAAAAAATAAACCAACCATGTTGATCTGATGTGCCATGAACCAGCACAAAGCTACCATTATGCAGACAAATCAATAATTAACTATTTCAAAGTGTAGGAACCATAATGTGCCAGTAATAATCAGATAGAAGTTTGAAGGTTTTACCTCTCAAGCACCAAAGGTTTTGCAAGTTCTTGCTGAATTTTTTTTGTTCCTACCAGATGGTAAGATATTGATGGACATTTGACAGCCGTAGACTGCTCCATCAGAAGTCTAGAATTCCATTCCTAAAGGATAAAAATATATTCATTGGTGATGATATTACATATTGACTGGAAATAGCAAAAACTCCACTTGAGATAATTTGATTAACAAAAATATCATATATAACATAAGAAAAGGTAGAATATATCGCATACTGATTCAGAGGGGTAATCATTTGGTGAATAACCAGCTCGGAAATACACAACTGCAACAGTTTGGTCTCCTCTGCAATTATAAATTTCAATCTTCTGAATAACAACATAATTCTCCAATTCAATAAATGCTGAAAAAACTTAGATGCTCACAAGGGAATCTTTAATGCATATGAATGTGCCTTCCACTCCTATCATGAAAAAAACTGATCTAGCTTTTAAGGTTAAGGGTTTCCATACATAGCTAGTGATCCATCCGGCAGTAGCTGTCCTTCCACATCTATTTCTGCCAAGGTCTTGCGTATAGTATTTACACCATGTGTATTGTGAAGTTAAGAAAACAAAAGATAGAAGAATGATTGCCAGTGGAAAATGAAAAAGAATTAATTGCAGCTAACAAATGTACATGTTTTCAACTAATAAACATGATAAAGACTTTTTTTAATATCTGATTAGCAGTAAGCTCACATTTAACAATCATTTTATGCTCCTGAAGATAACTGGCAAAATTTATGACGCAAGCATATCAATATTATAGTGAATGAGGATGAAACCGAAAAAAATCGAAGAATAGGATATATCTCCTTCAGCCAAAATGAGAGCCAATGCTGGTCATACATATTGCGCTCTTCAGGTTGTACAACAAACATAACAACTGCTCTGCAATAGAACCATGACAAAAATGTAAAACATTTGCAGAGATCTAAGAGGCTGGAAAAAAAGTTACAAAACTACAGCGCATCGTTTAACCTTTTATTGCTGTATTCATTCCAAGCTTTGGCAATTGCTTCCGCAAATTTTCTGACTGCTGTATTTTCAGGAATATTTACTGGATTTAATCCAAGCTCCTTACCATGCTGATTAAGCAAGTATCTACAAGAGAACTAAGCATCAGTTTTCCACGTAGAAATAGTATAACTTCTGCACCATGTTTTGAGTGAAAAGTACGTCGAACTTTCAAACCTCATCGCACAGAATCTCTCCAGTACTGAATAGAATTTTACAGATGTGGTGAACAGTGAGATATCATGGTGATGTTTTCTCAACTGATATTCATATTTGAGTGTTTAAAGTGGTCAATCTTGTGGGTAAAAATTTCTATGAACTTCGATGCTATTTCTGTACATAAAAATATGCATACTCATAAAATACAGTTTAAAACATAATTATGCCGTCATGACATCAGTTTTACAACTTTTACATGAAACGAACCAAACTTCATATTTCCACCCAATAGACCACATTATGGAATTAAAAAACGATTAATTACAAGAATATTGCAATATAATTAAGAAGAAGAGGAAGTATCTTTTGTTAATACAAAGCCTGTTTTGCCCAAAAAATTTTGAAAAACCACAATAATATGTGGTCATGATTGGATGAAGATTGTATTGTTAGCTGTATATCACACTCCACCATCTTCAAAATAATTAGCAAGCCAGCCATGAGAAAAAAGATTCTAGAGAAGACAAGGAGGAAATCAATCCAAGTGACTCAAAAAGGATCCACCACATTCTGAAAAATGTTGGAGTAAGCTTCAAGGAGAACTCTAGGATGGCATAGAAAAGCACTAGAATCATGTATATATATAAAAGGGCAATGTAGAACTATCTAGAAGTTATTCTATTCTAATGTAATCTAGAAAGTTCTCTAAGACTAAGACTTGGGAGAGGACTATAAATAAAAGTTCCTCATCTCATTTGTATCCATCCAAGGTTTCTAAGCACTCAAGTGTGTAATCTTCCATTCCTTAGTGAAGTGTTCCTTTCTCCCTACTTATTTCCTAGAGAGTTTTGTGCTTTCAAGTTCAAGATTTGCAAGGGTTTGGCTGATTTAGTGCTTAAGAAAAGTGTTAAAGCCGCAAAAGTGACTAGATAGAAGTTTGTCCATGACAGTTGGTATCAGAGCCAAGGTTTGAAGGCATGCAAAGAGTATCAAAGAGCACATCATAAAGTTTGAAGTCACTAATGCGGAATCATCTCGTCAGGAGAAACGAGAACTTGATGCATCAAAACCATATGGGAGGTCTAAAGAGATCATACATGGCCTTCATTCGAGCCTTGCTAAGGTAAAGAAGTCTATGAGTGGCATGGAGGCCCATATAGAGGATCTAGGTCAAAAGGTGGATGGTCTCGAGGAAGATGACATCACCATCCATTCCACAATCAAAGATAAGACACTGCAACTGGAAGAATCCTTAAAAAACCAAATAGCGAAGATGCGGAAGGACTTGATGGGAGAGCACCATGAAGTACAACGATCTCATGAGAAAGAGACGAGCAGTTTACGAGCTTGGAGGAAATGCATGGAGACATATCGTTGTACAAAAGAACACTATTAGCATCAACCAACCACTTTACTTTTGAAGTCAAGCGTATTAAAGTGCCAAAACCTAAGACTTTCGGGGGAGTTCACAATGCCAAAGAAGCAGACAACTTCTTGTGGGGGCTTGAACAATACTTTGGAGTCATGGACAATACATATGAAGACACGAAAATTCAATTTGCAACTCTTTATCTCTTCGACATCGTTATGTTGTGGTGGAGAAGTAGGCAAGAAGACAGAGAAAAGTATGTGCACCATATCCACCTTCGATGACTTCAAGAAAAAGCTCAAGTGATAATTTTATCCCGAGAATAAGAAGGATGAGGCTAGAGCTCCACTACAAAGGCTCAAACAAGCAGGATCGATTCGTGAATATATTAAAGAGTTCACTAGTTCATGTCAGATAAGGATGCTCTATTCAACTTCATGGATGGACTCCAACAGTGGGCAAAGATAGAGCTTAAGAGGCTTGGAGTGCAAGATCTTGCTACTGCCATTATTGCCGCCAAAAGCTTAATTGATTACTCAAATGAATCTGCAAAGCCTAAAGATAAGAAGAGTGCCTATGTCAAAAATGGGAGAGACAAAGACCAACAAAAGGAAGAGACCCATCATTAATCAATCTCAACCAAGAGCAAAGAAAAAGGATAGCTTAATAACAACAAAACTAAGACGCATAACAACTGCTTGCTTTGTGAAAGACCTTATTGGACAAGGGATTGTCCTCAAAAGAAAGCTCTGAGCTCTCTCATTGCAATCCATCATGCGACAGGAGGCGATATGGCAACGCAAGTGAGAACAATACAACTCCTCAACATGGTGCAACCCTCTCCAAAAAAAGGGCTACACTTCGTGGAGGTGATTATAGATACAAAAGTAACGATAGGCACGGGAGCTTCTCACAACTTCATCTCTATTGAAGAAGCGAAAGGAATGGGTCTGCAAATAATTGGAGGAGGCTCCATCAAAACAGTCAACTTAGCGGCTAGGCCAATTCATGAAGTAGCCAGAGAAGTGAAAACCAGTGTCAAAGCTTGGTCAGGTATCTTAAACTTCTCCCTTATCCCAATGAATGATTTCAAAGTAGTCCTTGGGCTAAAATTCCTAGATCAAGTAAGAGCATTCCTGATACCCTTCGTCAATTACATGTGTATCATGGAAGGAAATCAAGCTTGCCCAGCACCACAACAATAAGGACTAGCAAGAAAGAATTCAAAATGTTATCGACAATCCAATTCAAGAAAGGCATTCGATGAGATGAGGAGAGCTACTTGGCTATTCTTCATGACTCATATGAAGAATCTAAGCCCCAAGAAGACATGCCAAGGGAAGTGGTGGCAGCACTTGAGAAATTTAAAAAACTACCACCAAGAAGAGAGATAAATCGTCAGATCGAGCTGGAGCCAGAGACTAAAGCCACCAACAATGGGAGCTTATTGCATGGCACCTCCCGAACTAGCAAAGCTATGCAGACAATTGAGGGAGTTGTTGGAGGTTGGACTCATCCGACCATTTAAAGTCCCGTATGGTGCCCGTCTTATTTCAGAAAAAGAAGAATGGTTCCCTGCGCATGTGTATAGACTATCGGGCATTAAACAAGATTACTGTGAATAACAAATACCCAATTCCTCTTATTAGTGACCTTTTTGATCAATTTGGGAATGCAAAGTACTTCTCAAAATTAAACCTCCGGTCAGACTACTATCAGGTGAGGTTAGTAGAAGGGGATGAACCAAAAACCACTTGTGTGACCAGGTATGGATTGTATGAATTCTTGGTGGGCTAACCAATGTCCCTGATACATTCTACACCTTGAGAAACAAATTATTCCAACCATATTTGGATCAATTTGTTGTTTATCTGGATGATATATTGGTATATAGCAACACACTCCAAGAAAACGTAAGGCATCTCGAAAAGTATTTAAAGTACTCAAGAAAAAAAAGTTATATATCAAGAAAGAAAAATGCTCCTTTGTCAAACTTTTTGGAATGAGGCAAGATCAAGGTCATTTAAGATTGGGAGCCTCGCACTAAGTTACATGAGCTAATATCCTTCCTAGGGATTGTAAAGTACTATCGACGATTCATAAAGGGTTATTCCGCAAGAGTGTTCCGCTGACAGATCTACTAAAGAGGAATAAGTCATCAGAATGGACTAACAAATGTCAAAAAGCATTTGAAGATCTCAAGAAGACAATCAGCGGAGAGCCAAAACTTAGCCTTCCTAATCATTCAAAGATGTAACAAATACACACTGATGCATCTGACTTTGTCGTAGAGGGAGCACTTATGCAAGATGGACATCCAATTGCATACGAAAATCGGCAAAGTCGCTACACAGTCCAAGAAAAAGAGATAAAGGCTATCATACATTGTCTCAGAGTATGGAAACACTAACTACTTGGCTTTAAATTCAGAGTCATGATAGCTACTTCCATACCTAGAAAAAGCCAAGTCCCAAACAGGAAAGATGGAACAATTTCCTAGTGGAATTCGATTACATCTTAGAGTATAAAACATGGAAGACCAATGGAGTAGTAGACGCACTAAACCGAAAAGCAAAGCTTGCAAGCATTTCACAAGTCTCCAGCTCCCTAATAAGTAGAATCAAGGAATGGTTAATTTATGATCCATAAGCCCAAAGTATTATTGCTTTAATAAAGGAAAAACTTAAAAATTCTGGATAAATGAAAAGGTCATCTATACTAAGGGCCAACACATTTACGTACCAAGGTGAGGCAACCTGAGAAGGGATTTAATTAAATATTGTCACAACAATTTATGGGCAGGACATGCAGATATGAAACAAACTCAAGCCCTTCTCAAAACTAACTATTATCGGCCATGGATAAAGGATTGGGTGGAGGAATTTGTACGCACTTGTCTTGTTTGGCAACAAGACAAAGTTGTCCATCAACAACCAAGGGGATTGTTAAAACCACTACCTATTCCTCAAAGACCTGGGAAAGCATCTCTATGGACTTCATCTAGAGGATTTGTAAGCATCCTGATCGTGGTGGATGGATTCAGCAATTATGAAACATTTATTGCTGCTCTCACCGACTGTACTGTCAAAGAAGTTGCAGGCTCTTTCCTCTGCAGTGCGGTAAAACTATGGGGAATGCCACAAAGAAATGTTAGTGATCGAGATTCTCGTTTCATTGGAAGATTTTTGACCGAAGTGATGTTGGGATCAGATCTAAACTTTTCTACAAGTTTTCATCTCCAAAGTGATGGCCAGACGAAGAAAATCAATGTCTTCTTGGAACACTATGTAAGCGTAAGTCAGGAAAACTAGACCAAACCGTTGGATGTAGCACAGTTCTCCTTTAATCTACAAACAAGTGAAACCACCAATAAGAGTCCTTTCAAGAGAGTCATGGGCCAAAAACCAATGACCCCCACTCCCTTACAACTAACTATGAAGGAAAAAGTCCAACAAGTTTCGAATTTGTTAAGTCCTGGAAGAGTAAAGGGTGTTAGCTTAAGTCACATTACATAAGGCTGCAAGAAGAATGAAGAACTAGGCAAACAAGAAAAGGAGGC